GTGTTTTCATTTTTTTTTTTTATGAACTTATTTCAGACAGTCGGTAACTTTCTATTAAATTTCTGTTGTTACATGAATATTAATATGCCTACTATTTCAAGTTCAGGATAGTTGTGAATCTATGCCATACTTCATTTTCTTTGTTTGTTGGTTCATTTATTGATTTTATGAGTTTTCACAAAATCTACTAAATGTGAGCCAAAACTGTGGAATCGTAGTTCTTTATGTTTAAACATTTGTTTATTGTTTTAAATTTGATATCTTCGGGTGCATATGTAATTGAATGAGTTCCCAGTTTGTTCTGTTTTGGATGTATCTTATACAGGAGACCGGGACAACAGCCTGAACAAATTGGCAGCCGAATTGAAAAACCAGAGGAAATTAGTTAAAAACCTTCAGAAAAAGTCGCTGTGGTCCAGAAGTATGGAAGAGGTAGATTTTCTCTAGAATGCAGTCAGTTTAGTTCAAGTTTTTATTAGATGTGAAAATATATCTTAAGTTTGATTCTGTCTTTAGTTTGGGAAATACTACTACCGTTAAAAGTAAAAAATATTTTGGCAAAACATGACTGCATTGATGAAGGTAACATGTTCTAGAGCACCATGTTGATAATATGCACATTCCAGACCAAAATTTATAACTATTTAGATGAAAAGAACTCATCATTATCGAATTAAAAAATGAACAAAAAAAAATGTATCTTTATAGTTGGATTACATGTTCAAATGTCTCCGTGTGTGTAAATTTACTTTGTATGTGTGTAAGCTTACCTCCCTTGATAAAATAGTCAGTTATATTTTTATTAAATATCTGTCTTGTGATGAATGCAGATTATGGACAAACTTGTGGATATCGTTTTAACGTTGAACCAGGAAATAAACTCTACCTTTGGCAGTCCAGGTATAGTTTAACTCTCAAAGAAGCTCATGTGGCCCTACTCTACTCTACAAATGAAATTATCCTCAACTAATAAGAGTTGTATTTAACTTTTCCTTATCCTTAGTGATGTCTTCTTATTTAATCAACCAGTATTAGGCGAAACACAAGAAGAAGCAACTATCAGCAATCAGCATAGGTTGGGATCTGCTGGACTAGATTTGCATTATGCTAATATCATTTTGCAGATTGACTCAATAGTGAGTAATTTTGTAGTTTTGCATAATTATTTTTGGAAAATATTTGATTTTGTTTTGGTTCTTTCTGATATGCCGAGAGGAATCTAATTGGGAGAATGCATTGGTAAATGTGTCCCATTATGTAGAAAAATGAAGCAATTCATAAAAATTGAAAAACAAACATTTTCCTTTTTATGACTTCAAGGAGATTATCGATTCACAATACATCATAGCCTTATTTGTCAGGTGAATTTCAGAGTAAGTTATATTTTGCGTTCCATAAAGAGCATTGAAGTCACTTTTTGATTTTCCTCATGTCATTAGGTAGCCGTTTCAGGTAACGTGTCACCAAACACCCGAGACATTTTGTACCAGAACTTGCCACCTAACATGAAAGATTCTCTACGAACCAAAGTTCGGTCTTTCCATGTCGACAAAGAGGTTCAGTGTATTTGATATACTTTTCAAACTCTAGTTTATGCTGTTGCCTTGTTTATCTATTGACATGAAGTGGTTTGTTTTACTGTTTTCCTTTTTCTGTCCCTTTTTTTTTTTTTTTTTCTCAGCAGCTCACAGTAACAGAAATCCAAGATGAGATGGAAAAGACATTGCATTGGCTTGTTCGGGTTGCTACAAATACGGCTAAGTAAGACTTCAGAACCTTCAAATACACATATTCAATAAATTTCGCTACTGAGAATATTTTTTGTCGGTTTATATACGCAGAGCTCATCATGGCTTTGGTTGGGTTGGAGAGTGGGCGGGCTTTGGGTGAGTATTCTTAACTTATAACATTAACTGTAAAAACTACCCATAATTTTAGCTTAATTACCAAAACAGAATCTAGTTGAAAAAAAAAAAAAATAGTTGTCTTTTAAATTTACAAATGCCTTTATGAATGCAGGTCCAACCTGAACCGCAGGACAGTCGAGCCTTTGGACATTATGCAAATCGAGACACTCCACCATGCAGACAAGCAGAAGACAGAAGCTTATATTATTGATTTACTGTTGTGGCTTAACTATTTGGTCAGTCGGTCCAAGACCCGTTCCTGTACAGGTGGCGCTTGATCACTTATTAGGTTGCCTGCTGCCTCAAGCAATGGAGATTCACATTCATTCCTATCTTTTGAGCATTGCAAATAACGAGAACCGGTACAGTTTAAAGGATTGGCCACTATTACTCATGGTTCCAGTCTTGACTAGGAAATAAACGAAGAATGGTCGAATGACAATGAATTGATTTTGTGTGGATAGAGATGTATGAGTTTGTATAGGCATGATAATAGATAAGTGGGCGATCTTAGTGTTTGTATAGTGGCACTATATATATATATGTTGTTGCATAGATTTTTCCTTTGGTTTCTTTTGAATTGCATACAATTTTTTTTTCCCCTTTTTTAATGCTAAATGAATAGGGACATTCTACCGTCAAGTACAATCGTACCTACATAACGTCATGTACCCCTTTAATTCATGACATGTGTCCTAATTCTTAATAAATCAATTAAAAAATTGACAAAAAAACATTGTGTAAATATGGAACTACTCTTAATTAAAACAAATATTAAATATATTATTTAACTAAAAATATATTTATGTAGTAGGTGATTAGTTATTCTTATATTATTATTTTACCTAAACACATTTCCATATTCCAATTAATCCACAAATTCTTACTAAATTGCATTTGTATTGAATTCCATCAATCATCTTCATATTTTCTCCCTTTCGTGTGAATCAAGTCTGAAGATGAATGCCAAGAGCTCTTTCTCTTATGGTAATCTCTGTAAATGCTTGGAGGGAAATAAAGCTACTGATGTTAGACTTGTTGTAGTTGCTGTTGGCATAGCAAGTCGAGGAGGTTTGGGAAAGTTATGATCAGGGGAAGTGATTACACTAGTGGGACAACAAATTCTGGCCTCAAGGTTGTATCCCGTGGTTGCCCTGATCTGAAAGTTCTTTCTCTATGGAACTTATGGCCAATTGGTGATGAAGAGTTGTGCGAAATTGCAAAAGGGTGTCGTTCTTTTGAAAAGATCGACCTTTGCCACTGCCCCTCTATCACGGACAAAGGTTTAATTGCTATTGCATTGAATTGTCCTAATTTGGTTTGGGTTACACTGGAATCTTGCTTGAAAATAGGCGATGAGTGTTTACGAGCTTTGGGCCGTTACTGTCTGAACCTATACATTAAAAATGTGAAAATTTGTCCACTCGTTGGTGACAAGGGAATTGGGGGCTTGTTTTCATTGCCTGGTCACAGCGTGACAAAAGCGAAACTTGAGGCACTAAGTATCACTGATGTGTCTCTTTCTGTCATTGGACTCTATGGGAGTGCGCTGTCTAATCTTGGGCTCGTGGGCCTCTAAAATGTGAATGAGAGGGGCTTTTGGGTTGTGGCTAAGGGCCAAGCTTGAAAAAGCTGAAATCTTTATCAATAATTGGGTGTCGAAGCACTTGTTATTGAAGCTCTAAGTGTAGGATGCTCGGAACTCAAGACCTTTTACCTCAAAAAATGTTCGTTTGTGTCTGACAGTGGTCTCATGTCATTTTCTAAAAGTGTCGAGTCGCTTGAGAGCCTTCAACTAGATGAGTGCCACATGATATCGAAACAAGGGATTATAAATTCTCTTGCTAACTGTTGCAAGAAATTGAAAGCACTTGGATTGTCCAAGTGTATAGGGATTAAAGATTGGATTAGCACATCCATCTCTTTGCCTTACCCTCCGATCACTAACCATCTGCCACTGTCCCAGAGTTGACGATGTAGGCTTGGTATTTTTTAGCCTCCTCTGTCCTAAGCTGACCCAAGTTGATCTTGGCTGCCTATAAGAAATCACGGATGATGGCATTTTGACTCTCAAGATACTTAAACTGGATGGTTGCATGGATACAGGTACATTACCATTGTGAGCTTGTCAGAAATTGGAAGGAACTGCACTGCGGTAACTGACCTGGATGTTCGGGGTGTGGAACAAATGATTCTGGAATTGCATCATTGGCAGCGGCCAAGCAGAATAGTCTGCTGTTATTGTCTCTCGCAGGTTGCTCTTTGGTGTCCGACAAAAGCTTGCCTTTTCTTGTTTCTTTGGGTAACACTTTGGTGGGATTGAACGTGCAGAATTTTCGCGGAATCAGCTCCAGCTCCATTAGTTTGCTTTTCGATAAGCTTTGGAGGTGGTGACATACTTTCTTAAGGAGGAACTTCAGTGTTTTACTAGTCGTCGGTTATGGGTCCATCTGAATGAGTCTTTGGTTTAGCAACCCCGATTTTTCGGCTAGTTTGAGTTTTTTGCAGCCACCCTTTCATTAGGAAGTTGTTGCAGTAATGTCGGTTTCGGTTAATAGAAGCTATCGTTCGTTACACTTGAGTTAGCCGATGTTATACTGTAGGTTGTGGATGTTTAAACCTTTCATTTAATATGATCATAACGTTTTTAGCATGTTCAGGGGTTGTTATTGTCACCTTGCATTCGTAGGTTATGTCCATGGCTATGAATTCTTCGGACTTGCCATGACAACCTCTTTTCCTCTTGAAAGGTTGTTTTTGTCTTTTTACCAAAGCTCTAGTCTTTTTCCAGGTTACTCTTGTTGGGATTAGTCATGTTCAACCTTCTCATTAATGTAATGCTCCTTTAAGTGTCGCACCTTTTGTGCTTGTACTCATGTTTTCTAAAATTTAATCCATTATCATGAATAAAAAGTTGCAATAGTAGCTTTGTGTGGAATGTAGCAAAAATTTACGGTCTTTGTTCAATCCCGAATGCATCTTGTCTAATGCTTTTTTCGCCTTTTTCCCTTTGGCTGGTGTTTCTGCTCGTAAATTTCAACAATAAAACGAGTCAGGTTCAACATCTCATGCGTTCGTGATGACTTTCAACAGCCAGGATGCATGATATGATCTGAGGTCGCGTTTATGCTTACTTTCAATGGCCATAATCATTTCATTTGAAACTTTGCGTCATTCAGAGCAATGATAACTCTAGCTGTTGTTGAAATGTGCTAGCAAAGTTGATGTTGTTAGGTAGTTAGTAAATGTAGCTTTCTTCTTGTGTAATTGTCAATTGATATGGCTTTTGGTACTTGATTTGTTCGGACTTGAACAACTCATCGAGCTACTGCATGATGCTACTCTATGTCATTAAATTGGTGGAAGCATCATATATCCGCATCACAAAAATTGGTACTAAAAGCTTGGACATGGTTCTACGATTTCACATTTGTAGAATGGCGGTTGCAAGTCTCATCACTGTCCTTTTGTTAGGATCTATGACGATCTCGTTATGTACAAGTTACGAATTCAATAGCAAACATAAACTTATGCGCAACAGATCTAAAGGTTTGACGTAGAAAACTTACGACTTAAAATTTTCTGAATCTGACTGACTCGGGTTGACCGGGAACAGCACGTCGGAGAATGGCCGGGATCACGAACGGGACGGGATCAGTGGCGTCGGGCTCGTTAGACAGCTGCGTGGAGTCACCGAAGTCGTCGCGCGGGGCTGGTTGGGCTGCGAGATCGTTGCAGCGTGTCGAAGGCTCAGCTTCTCATCGCGGGTGGCGTCGTCGACTTCCGTCGGCTGCTCATGGCTCGCGGCGGCGGTCGGCGGGTCACGGTGGTCAGCGGTTGTCGGCGATGATCGTCCTCTGGGGTTGTGAATATATTCTATCACGGGGTCTCGGTTACTACAGGATCTTCTATTGTATTACTGACACACCTCTTCAACTTGTACCGGTGGAGAAACAAGAAGAAGATAAAGCTCGAATGAAATTCTAGAGAGAGAAGAGAGAGAGAGACGAGTTCGACGTGTATTTTCACGTTGGGAACTTTATGTTCTCTTCTATATCTATTCAATGAGCTTAATGATGTAAATATAGAGCTACAGTAGGGATCCTTAGGAGAATAGGATTAGGGCTTCTTAAGTAATGGACTAACTGTGGGCCATGCCCAATCTTTCAGTTACTTAAATAATATTACGGTCCACTAACTTAATATTATTAAACTCCCTTTTCCTATCCCAAATTGCATTTGAGACTCCAATAATAATTACCTGAATTACCTCATCATGTTTCTGATATAATGTTCGTTAATTTATTCGATTACTGACAATCATGAATTAATTAGTATATTATATTACCAAAGCTAGCACTCGTTCATTGCATTATTATTATGCCAGAATTTAACTGCAGGGTTTAGCATAACAATCCTTCATGAACTCACTTCGGGGACATCATCAAAGTAATGCACATGGTGACCGTAAATATCCTAACAGCACATCATACATACAACAATATTGCCTAAGACAGTAAGAATATTAGTTCAGCGAACTGAACCTCACCCAAGTGAATCAAAGTAATAAATATTGCATGTATATGTCTGTTTAATATCTTACGGGTTAAGAGAACGCAGTAATTAACCGAGGCCTAGTTCGTTTACGACAATCACTATAAAAACAAACTTCTCCTCTCTAGGATCCTGTTCAATACATAAATGTACTAGTGCAACTAATCAGTCAAGACCAGCTGTACTGTTGGCACTACAACCGTTCTGATGGGTGTTCATTTCCATCTATGTTGTGAACCACAATTCTTGTTTCGCAAGTAACTAATAGAATGATCTTCTGTTCACCCGATGATGACCCATTCTATCTAAGTGCAAAACAACAGAACATAAAACTTATTTAATCGAACATGATTCTCAATGGCAAAAATGTAATATCACCCAAAATCAAACTTTTAGCATATAACACCAACACCTTTAACACTATCTCTACTTTAAAAATGTGAAGGAGTGATCAACAATAATAATTAAAACACAAAATAAATTCGAAAAAAAAAATCTAGGTCATATAAATATGAGTTATTATGTAATTACAGTACTTTCAGGAAACCACTAAAACTTCATATAAAATGCATTACATTGCCTGAGGGATACTATTAGAATTCCTAAACTGCCACACTTGCATTTTAACCAATTTGCCTACATTATTGAATTATCGTTTGAAAAAAACTCTTATGGAGGTAGTAGATGACATACTTATGGAGAGATTTATAAGTAAATATATTAACACTTGTTTTATGCGTATTTATTTTGGATATGTTTCAATATAACATTTATGGATAACTATTTATGGCTCCAGAATGTGTCATCCGATGACATAGTAGCAAAACTGCTTACTTGAAATACCAACAATGTTAGATTCAATTAAAATTGTTAAAATTAATAGTAACGATACCATCACAATACTTTCAATATTGTACACTTTGCTCTAATAATATCATAATACACATTTGTTGATTTTATATCTAATTTATGTAATAACAAGCTTGGTTCATCANTTTCATACTAGTTGTCTCACATCCCTACGACTAGAGTGACTTTTAGATAAATCTTTTGTAGTTGTTATTGTCGTAAATTTAGAAAAAAAAAATCCATAGATTAATAGTTTGTTGTATCGTGTGTAAAGTTTTTGCGATACTTATTTATGACTTTCACGTTAGCTAAATAGGACATAAAAAAAATGATAAAGCTCTTCCTAATTAATAATTTTCCTACAGCAATCTGTGACACATTTTATAAAACTATTAACAACTATCCACAAATTGTATTTTAACACATGTCTAAAAGAAGTACGCTTTGATCAGGGAAGGATCTAGCTCATAAACTGAGTGAGGGCCTACTTTAATTATTTATTTTCAAATATAATAACCAAAGTATTATAAAAAAAATACATTCATATTTATTCTCATGAGTTTTCATAAGATGGTATTGCTTTATAATAATATTAATGAATTTTTAATCATATTTTATTTCAACCTATAATATTAGATTTTTTTTTTTTTTTGCCAGAACGATAGAGGTGATATATATAGTAACCGAAAAAATGGTTCGAATACAAGAGGAACAAACCTACTGAAAAGAAAAACTGAGAGATGCTACACAAAGCACCTAGAACCTCAACAACTAACAAACTAGAAAATAAACAAACTAAACAAGAAGTGCATCTCTCCACTGCCATAAGGCCTAGCTAGAATACACCACTTCCAAACAAAAGAGAATTGAAAAAACTATAAGCTAAACAAAGATAAAGATAGCCTAGCAAGAAGAGGTAACATCACAGGATCCTACAGCCAATGAAGCTTCCAACCAATCCTTGTGTGCAGCAGAAATCACTATGTGCTCAGGCATGAGAGAGCTCTTGAATATCCAGAGATTCCGAGATTTCCAAAACCACGAAAGAAAGTAGGTGGACAGTTGAATCCTAGCTTGAACAACATCATTTTGTTTAATGGAGCTAACCTGCTGCCGCCATGATTTGAATGAGAGGGTATAATGTTGTAAGCCATCCAGTTGACTGGTGCTGCTTCCCAAATCCTGCTTGCTCTTGGGTATGAAAATAGAATGTGTTCAACAGTCTCTGGTTGTTCTCCACAAATGGAGTAGATGGCACAAATGTCAATCCCTTTCTTTCTCAAATTGACAGCAGTTGGCAGTGTTCCAGAAATACATTTCCAAAGGAAATGTTTGATTTTATTTTGTATCTTCATCTGACAGCATCTCTGATACATTTGATGAGGAGGAAAAGGACAGGAACTTGTCTCTAGAATGTCCATCTGCAAGAGCTTTTGGTCTATCAGAAACTTATAGGTTCTAGCAATTCTGAAATTGCCTTTTGGTTCAAACCCCCAATACTACCTGTCAGGTCTAGCAGGGTTCAAGGAATTGATATTAAGGATTGTTGCACTGTCCTCAGTGTCAAAGACTTTTTCTACCAGCCAGCTGTTCCATTCACTTCCATTATTTTTGTAGCAGGTCCTTCACCCAAATTAAGTGTCCCCTTGCTATCTCAATCAATGAAGGATGAGGCCTTTTCAAATTTGGCACCCAATTCAGATCCTCAATCCTTGTGGAGTGGCCATTTCTGATTTCTGTTCTCACACATTTAGCAAAGGTAGGCATCACTGTAAGCCAGCTATTCCATAGCCAAGACCCTTTTTTAGTCTTTTCAGCCTTGAAAATGGATTCATTGGGGAAGTATCTATCTTTAAGTATCTTGCTAACCAGTAGCTCAGGATTAGAGGTAATTCTCCAAAGTTGCTTGCAGATTAGTGCCTCATTGAAAAGACTGATATCATGAAATCCCAGGCCTCCCTTGAGTTTTGGAAGAGTGAGTCTTT